GACAAAATCGTAAGGTTGCCTGCTCACTGCAACAGGCCGTTCAGATGAGAGGACTGACGCACATCTATAATTACATCTTGTACCTTTTTTCTTCAATTTCAAACTCCCATGGACTTGGTTGTTTATGGAACAAACACTTTTTGCAGTGGGTGTGTGCTGTGGAGGAAGAGCTCTCCATGGGCCCCATTCAACACCACTCACATTGGAACAAAGAAGGGGAGGAGGTCCAAGCGAAAGGGGGGGGAAGTGCAATTTAAAAGAAAGGAAACTACAAAAACTTGCATCTTTCACTTACCGCCACTCGTCCTCTACCTGTACCCCGATGGACTGGAATTTGGTGGCTGGTGGAGGAGGCTCCTCTTTTGCCACTGGCTGAAGGCAGTCAACCTTATTAAATGAAAAAAAATACAGACAAAACCAGACACAAGAACTTGCTGCTGGAATTCCCATTAGTAGACCAGGGGATGCTGCGCACACAGAGTGTGCCAGCACCACGTGCCAGCTGGAGAGGCACAGGCTGCCACCCAGCTCTGCCTCCACTTCAGCATCGGGACTGCGTCCTGCCGGGCTGCCCCTCTAAGGGCACTTGGCTCTGCCATCCACCGCTGTTTGCATGGCTGTGGCACGCTGGGGAAGGGCCGTGTCCCCCGGAGGGAGCAGCTGCACATGAGGCACCCAACATGGGCAAAGGCCAAGGGATTCAAGGGAGGGCAGTGATCTGATTAAGACTGACAGCAAAGCCCAGCTTCCCCTCTCCCAAGGACTGACACCCTCCCTAGCTCTGGATAAGAGGGTTAGAGGGTTTTAGGAAGGAAATCCAGGCTGTGGGACAGGTGGCTTGGGAACCAGCTCAGAAAAGGGAGAGGAAGGCAGTCAGCCGCTCCAACGTGAGTTCTCTTGCCTTGCTGCCCTTCCAGTGTGCGTTTTGCCCCACTAGCCCTGCAGAAAAGCCTTCATTGCCATGCATGCCTAACTGGCCAGCTAGCCTTGCTGTGAAGCCAACAGAGAACTTCTTCAGCACATGCACACGTGGTGGCTCAGAGCCCAGACCCTGCACTTGGATTTGCCCAAGTGCTGAAGTTCCTATCTGCAGGTAACAGCCTGCAGCACCAAACCAGCACTTTGGGACAGAACAAGTCCTGGCAGCAGCCAGCCATCTAACTGGAAAACCTCTCCAGAAGAAGAGTGTACAGTTGCAGATTAATTAAGTTTTGCTGAATAAAGCATGGGTTTACACTGCTCAGTGGGTTCTCATTTGACTATATAACCAACAGCTCATTCCCATTGATTTCCACAAGAGTTAAATGCTTTCAGCAAGAGCAGCAGCAACCTGCTGGGAACGGTGGATAGCAAGGATTTGCTCCCTCCTGCCTACAGCCCTGGGACCATTTCCCACTGCCGCAGCCCATACTGCATGGGTGTCAAGTAGGAGGGCCCACTACTCGAAGGAAAGTTGTCCCTAGAACCATGGGGGACAAGGAGCAGACTGATGTTAAGTAATGCACAGTGCACTGCACAGGCATGCTAGCTGCAAAAGGCCTCTCCAGAGGGACTCACCCAGGTCCCACTGCTTTATGAAACATTTTAATTTTGTACTAAAAGAACTTTGGCCTTTCTGGTCTGCTCTGGAAAGCTTCTGCTGTCTGTTGCCCCCCCGGAACACAGAAGTTAGTCTGACAAGGCAGTGAAGTTTCTCTTGCTGTGCCAAGTGAGCTCAGGTCACACAAAATGCACAGGCTAAACGGAAGGGTTAAGGACATCCCCCAAGGAAAAAGAACAAAATATCCCATACTTGTATTCCTATAGACGACAGCTTTCTTTTGGGGATGTTCTCCACTTTTGGCTCTTCGCTGGTCAGTGTCCCTTTGTCACTCTTCAAAGTTGCATTTTTCTGAGGTAACTCTGGAGTCTCTCTCGCTGGAGTCACAACGCTTCCCCTTGTCACACTGGGTGTCCTGGTGCTGTCCAAGCTATCCGAGGAGTTGCTGAGTCCTGACTGGCTGGTCACCTCACTCTTGTGGTCCTGGCTGTCCAGGTAGGTGTCCTGCGCCGATTCAGTGCTGCTCTGCACAGTGACAGAGATGAACGGCTTTGATGTGGTCCGAGGTGGGACAGGAGGTGGAGTCTTTTTATATGCCACTAGGCATGATGAACCTGCAGTAATGGAGGTGGGAAAATGGAGAACGCAAAAAGACAGATTGGGGGGAGAGAGAGAGATACAGTAGAAGAGAAAGAAAAAGCAGGTCAGTCACAACATCCAAGAGGAGCCTCCAAGTAGAAGCTGGAGGCAGAAACGCAGAAACAGCCTACAGCCAGCAGCTCACACTGGGTAACCCAAACCAAAGCATAAAGGGAAGCGGAAGGCAGAGCCAGAGCTAGCTTGCAAAAGAAGTCAAAAGGAATACCATGACATGTGAAAGGCTGGAAATGGAGAAGAGGTATAGAAAAGCCTCCCAAGAACACTACAGGGTTTGGCAGGTGTAAGCCTCCACGTTGGGGAAATGTTTTTTGGCTAAACCCTATGCTTTAGTGTCCTAGTACAGCCAAGTGTCTCAGCTCTTTGTCCCATCAGTTGACAAGTTTCAGTGTCTGGACCAGGGTGGTGTTTTTTCCTATAAAAATGGAGAGAAGCCATAAAGTTTGTTAGATGCTGATGGTAGGAACAAACGATCGTGAAGTACCTTAAAAACCTTGCTGCTACTCATTAGAGGAAAATACATCAGCTGGATGCAACCACCCACAAGTGGCGAGGCTGCTGCTGCTCCATGTCCCCAGATCCAACCTTCAGCAAGGCTGAAGACATGCTCCCAGCAGGCACACAGAGCACACGCATCCAGTACATGCACATATATACACGTGGGCTGGCCACACAGGTCACAGAGCAGCCACGTGAATATGGACAGCAGCAATGGCCTCATCCTGCTCTTGTCTCTAGCTTGGCAGGACTGAAGTCTGTTAGTGAGAACAGATGAACAAGGTGGATCCTGCAGCAGCTCTGGCACTCGGCCTGCCCAGCCTCTGGATGTACAAGTCCCTGAGGCCGAAGTCCTATTCCAGTGGCTGTCCAGACAGGACAGATGGCACTGGGCAGGGCACGGCCAGACCAGCACACCAACCAACCACCTACTTACACACAACTGATGCCTTTTATCCCCTGACCCCTGTATTGCCCACTTTCGTTCCTTCCCAAACCACCAAACCCCCTTTCTTGTCCCACCTTTGGTTCTTCCCCTAAATATCCCATTAAGTCCTGTGCAATCCCAAGCAATCCCAAACAAGTCCCAGCCCTGTTCCAGGCACACGTTTCCCCTAGCCCTTGGTATGCAGATGTTGACAGGTACCAGCACAGACCCATACACCGCCTGGATCACCCAGCCAACAATGCAGATGGGCTGTACAAACCCAAACCCGGTTTCTAAGTGTTTTCATAGTACAGCTCTGATGACCACAGGGGCTGCTGTTCCCTCAGGTTCCCTGTGCCAATCCATATTCCCTGACCTCAGTAAAGTTTTATGCCTCAGATTGCAAGCTCCTACCTCCCACTGCACTGCCCAGGCCCATACATAACTCCTCCAAAAACTGATGCAGCGATAGACACGCAGCTATAGATACAGACCATTTTCATTAAACACCACAGACTGTTAACTTTACCATTTCCACCCCCAAAGCAGCCAGCAGTGTATTAATAAATTTAGTACCAGATTAGAAACCAGTCCTCCCTGTCAGGAATCCTTTGACTACGCGGGGGCCGCAAGGTCAAGGTTCCCAACATCCCCAACGTTGCCCCCGACCTCCAAAGCGCATGCCTGCACGCCCTGGGGGGCTCGCAGCAGGGCACCTGACCCAGGCTTTGGAATTCCAGGCCAACTGGACACAACCAATTCTGGCTCAGCCCATCACAGGGTGCCTTCTGTTCCTGGCATAATTTTACACAATTAGCTGAGAAGTATCAAATGAACCCGATCTGAATTGATCAGGGGTATGTGAAAGGGCATTATGGGTGACAGGAGCCTCCTGGTAGCTCCTTTTCCTCCCCAGCCAGGTCTCTCTGCCTGCCGCAGAGGTTGGCCACGCTCACAGGGTGCAGGAGGGGCGTTCCGGGCTGCCGCAGTCTCCAGTGGGGTCAGAGCTGCTCCCGAGCATCCCTGGCAGCCCAGCCGTGTTCCCTGTGGGGCATTCACACAGCTACACTGCGTACCCTACTAACAGCATTTACACATGCCTGTATTTACGCACCCCAATATTTACCATATTAACAGCTGGAGTTCCACTTCAAAGGAGCTGCTAAAAGGGAGGGATTACAGAGGGGGAGGAGATCTGTTTCCAAAAACATTTAGACGCCCAAGGATGCTGAGAAGCACCGTAACGGTGCTGCTGTACCGGGTGCTGTACTAAGGACCCTACAGTGGGGTTGCCAACCCAGCTGCCTCTCTGTGTGAATCTGGCCAGGAGCTCAGGAAGGCACAAACCCCACACCAGCTCCCCCCAGCCCCCTAAGTCCAGCGCAGATTGAGCAGTGTCCTGATGGCCGCAAGAGGGGGACCTATTGTGACTGCTCACCCCAGCCCTTACACTTCTTTTTGACACACAGCCCACATGGCTGCAAGAGGGACTTGCAGTAGGGGGCCACATAGCTGGAAAATAATGGGGACAGGCTACGATGCTTGGGGCCTGGGTTATTCCTCAGCTTGATCGGTCCCCAGTGCTGGCACCTGCTGTGTAAGCCACTGAGGACAGCCGGAGCCCCCAGGTGCCACGTCTCCAGCCAGGACAGGAACTTACTATGCACTTTAAAAACCACCTACAATAATTTCCTAGGTGGTCACATGCAAATGCTTCAACTTGTCAAATTTACACGCCAAGACACAGCTATGCACGTCCCTTAGCCAACACTTACTGGGTCACACAAATAGTGTGCAACTGCACTGCAGGGTCATGGCTAACAGATGACTGAAGGGGCACCGGCATTCACGTCCAACCCTGCAGTCCCCCTTCGTCACCTTCCCCAGGCAGAGTGGAAGCTCCCGGGCTCAGGACAGCAGCAGAACCTGCTGCCCATGCTCCAGCAGCACCAGCTCAGAGGTGCTTAGCACCTCCAAGCAAGTCACGCTCCTTCAGCAGTGCCAGGTTCAGTGGCACTGCTCACGCAAGCACAGGTTGAACTGTGCCCAGAGCTGACCTTTGCCCACGGGTGTTGCTTTATAGGTTCTGGTTCATTGTGTACAACATGCCAGTACAGCAGGAGGCATGGACCGCTCCCTCCTTTCCCCATGTTCTCTGCTGGGCATCCCCAAAAGCCTCCTTAGGTATACTGTAGATCTGATCAAGTTGCAGTTTGCCTTGTTACAGATGTTTACCTGCTCTGTCCTTACAGGGGAAACCTTGATTACACCTACCTGACACAGAGCAGAGCATGCTACACAGGTGAAGCGTTCCCCATGAGAGCTTTGCCCCATCACAGAAAACTCCCCTGGCTCTACAGCTGGACAGCCTCTCAGGTGCATGCTGAAACAGCTCACCCGCCCCCAGTGCCTGCTCCTGCCACGGCTGACAACGGAGGAAAAAGTTCAACCCTAGACACGCACTAGAGCGCACGGGAGCAGCTCCTGTCTTCGGCTGCTCCCGCACTTGTCACTGCCCTCTGGAGTGAAGCCGCACAGGCATGTGCTGCCAGAGCCCTGCCAGCCACCACTGAGACCCCGTGGATGAGGAGTGCCCCCACAGACACCCTGCCAGGGCTGCTTGACCAGGGAGCACCATCTTAAATAGCTACAGCAGTTTTCTAGGCAGAGTCTTAGGCCCGGTCTTGTACAGCCCATCTCAACAGAGCAGCATAGGAGCAGCCTGAACAGAACAACCACAGAAGTACCCCTCGATAAGCTGTGGCCACACCACCAGAACACAGGACACTCACACCGCCTGGTGTTACTGTCCTGAGGGCTGGAGAAGCTATTACCTGGGACAAGCAAGAGCCACCCAAACTGGCAGCAGAGCAAGCCCGTCGGTGTAGCCTCCCAGTTAAATACCTTGTCTCCCCTCTCTGCATGGCCTCCGTTCGTCCCCAGGGAGGGTGCCTAGCCCCGGGCACCAGCTGCCTGGGGTCCCCTGCCACCCACCAGTCAGCCTCAGTGACACCATCCTGCTCAGAGCTGAACTGACGAGAGAGGTGTGCTGGTTTTGCTGGCATGTTTACCAGGAGCACAGCTCAAGTTTCCCAGCTGCTGTTTACACCCACGGGGCTGTAATGTAACTGGGGAAAGCAAATCAATTGCTATCTGATATCAAACACCAATGACAAGCAAAAACAAGGGGAGGGCAGCACAGCAGCACAGAAAGGCAGGAGAGCTTCCTGGGGAAGACCAGTGGTGCTGAGGGTCAGTAAGCCAGATCCAAATTTGTCCTTCCACCTACCAACTGACAGCATGAATACTATTTGTGCTGCTCTATATACAGGGGGAGACTGCAGCATCCCCTTGGCTTTTTCCCGGGGATCCCTCCATGTTGTCCAGCTCAGCTGAAGAGCATCACAGGTTTTGCTAGAAGAGAACCACAAAAAAACTGCCTGTTAATGTTCGTGTGGTCAAAGGGTTGACCATGCGAGCTATCAAGTTTATGGCTCTAACATACATTGCAAACAAAAGAAACAAAAAGATCAGGAGCCTTGAAGAACCGGGGATGCTTTGATTGGTGCAATCGCAAGTTAACCCCAAAGCCCCCTGCAACCATAAAACGGGGACTTCTGACTGCAGCAAACCCAGAAAGCACACCTTACCTAGAATGGGTTGCAAAAGCAAAAGTCGGAGGAATCCCGTCCAGAACAGTCTGCCCTCCCCCCTCAGTACAAATCTGAAACAAGTTAGAATGTTTCTTGCATCTATGGGAAGAGACAAGATACAGAGGAAGCCACAAGCACCCCGGGTATTTCTGCAGGAGAGGGGTGTTACTGGACCAACCAAGGCAATGTGCCCCCATGGCTCAGAGGTCAACCCCACCAGTTCAGAGCATTCCGGCTGCTGACTGACACCTCCAAAGGCCTACAGCTCCACAGGGTGTGAATCTGCTCCCGAGTTGCTGCAGGTCATAGCTATTATATTTTAAAATTTGCTGGTGCTATTGTGCGGAACTGCCATCCACGTGGGCACTGGAGCAGGTAC